AGGCAGTTTCTACCATTTTTTCTTATTTCTTACTTTAGAGTAAGAATCGCATGCAAACAAGAAAGCAAAGGTGAGATTCTATTTTAAATAATTTTGGATATGCTAAAATCATCATTTTTTTTCTGGAAGGGATGAGCCTCAAAGGATCTTCTTATAACCAGGTATCTATACATGCTTTAAAATTAAGTTTTATTCCAGCTGGAGATATAGGAAACCATCATTTCTTGCCTTTGAGAAAGAGGAGTTTAGTGCTTTACTGGAACAGCATAGTTTGTAATCAATAGTTTAGACTCATGAATTTAGTATTGAGGCTTGGGGTGCCCCTCAGGAAAATGGTAAAGAATGTGGAGTTGGCTTTTCTACATGTTGACTTTCCACTTTTACCAACAATCTAGACTCCTAACTTTGCTAGCTGCGCTTTCACCAAGTCACCCACCCAATCCAGAATCAGTGAGGGCAGGGATGAGATATATATCTATAATTCGGATATCAACTAGATAGATCACTATTTCCCAAGGTATGTTCCTTGGGACCTTAGAATAAATGCTCCAAGAAAGATAGAATTGGGTTTTTTTAAAAGTCAAAAAGATATTTTATATCCTATATTTGCATATGTATAGACATATTAGCTATATTAATGGCTTTCAGAAATTCTGCAGTTAAAACAAAATATAATGGCTTTACCTAGAATTCTCCAAATTTATTTGACCATAGAACACCCTCATTTTTCTTAAAATATCTATAACATAGTGACATAGGGTATTGATGTTTTCTGGAATACACTTAGGAAAATGCTTGCGTAGATGACTAATTTAGATCACTAGTTCTCAATGAGGAGGGAACTGTTGGAACATGCCTGGAGCATTTTTGTTGTCACAACTAGGGGCATTACTGGCCGGTGAAAAAGGTAGGGATGATCCTAAATATTCTACAATACGCATGACAACCCCACCCCTGTAACAAAGAATTATCTGGTCCCAAATGTCAACAGTGCCTTTGCTGAGAAAGCCTAGTCCAGATACAGCTTGTTTAAAGGGGACTTAGAATCTATGGGTTAGCAGTTGGCATTCTGCATTCACTAGAGCTTGTTATTTGATTTTGACCATGCAGACCTATTTACTTATTCTTTATTAACTTACAGGCTTTTGATAACACTGTCACCAACTGGACTTATGAAAATCTGAAATGAATTCTTTAACATCTGTTTGAGTTACTGGCAAGTTGTTAGGCAATTTTGTTATAATAATCATTTCTGCTCATATGTTCTTTGAATCTTTCTATGATACATGTATTATATAGTTGTATCATTACACAATACCTGTTATCAAAAATAACATGTCTGTGTATGTTCTGTAAATGCAGTATGATATTCTAGACATTGTTTCATATAATCTCAGTGCTCAGTAATCTTAAATACTAGGTATATTGATACATTGTTTTCACAGATAAGGAAATTCAGTTTCAGAGATGTTATCCAACAATCAGTTTGGGCAGGCTAGACAAGCATCTCAGTCCCCAAAATCTCCAATCCAGACTTCATTTCTGCAGTATTATGCTGCTTCCGCTTTTTCATACATAATTTCATATTTGTGGCATGAAAGTAATTCCAATGCTGTGAGCACTCATGAATTCAATTTGTATTTTCCAACTGCCTGTTTATTCTAAACTCTTAATTTGAGGCTGCAAATGGATAAAGATTTTTATCACATGTTAGAAGACATTCTCAGCAGTTGTTTCTTACAGTGTTTCTTGTCAGTCACATATATATATAGCCAAATCAGAAATAGTAGCAAATGATACAAAATCAAGTACAAAAAATTCCTTTTCTCTAATACTAACTTTCCACATTAGAACAAAGAAAGGTACAGGAAATTATGGTTGTGTTTTAGCATCAACTACTATACACATTGTCTGTGTGTGTGTGTGTGTGTATGTGTGTCTGCATGTGTGTATGTGTTTAAATCAAGCAAGGAGATGCAGAACAAATTAAACCCACACCGACTTATACTCAGGTTCTAGATTCTGACTCTAGCATCTTCTTTAGTTGAATTCATGGTTTTCCTCTTTATAAAAGATTTATTGGTGTCAGATAAACAGTTGAATTAAAAGTCTACTCACTGCTAGACCATTACATTTGACCTCCACAAATTCCTTCCCAAATTGAAAACTCAGAGATAGATTATAGTTCTATTTCAGTAGACTACTAGACAGTACCCCAAAATAACTGGTTATCTTGAGAGTGTTATTACAATATATTTTTGTGTCACAGCAGATGGTTATGCTATAAGAAACAACTAAAATCTATTAAAGACAAATAGCCCCCTCCCTGAAGAAAAGGAAACATTTTAATCCTTGCACCCAATCCTTTATTATACCTTTAACTCTTGTCATTCAACAAGTGGCAATAAGAGTATGCCATCATGCTATTGATCAATCTCAAAGATGGTGGTCATAAATTAATGCTGAGCACAATTATTACTGGAAGATTTAAATATTCAAAACTTGTCTCTCTTGTAAGCTAGCTCAAGTATAAATGAAAGGCTATCAGATGATATCAGCAGCTATGATAAATAACCCATTCCATGACAACTGTAGCAGCCACAAATCAAAGGCATAATAAAATCAGAAAAGGAGCCTATATTAATTTATGGGAACATTTGTTTAATGTCAGGCAATCTGGTCATGCTTGTGTACATGACATGATTTCCCCATGATCCTCTGCACATTAGAGATTCTATCCTAACTCATGAATAAGCACTTAAAAATTTAATAATAACCAGAAAGGATTTCCTACAATGTTCACTGTCACTCATATACTTTTCACTAAAAACAATTTGGCTACAGTTGTAGTTATGATATTGTAATAACCATCATAAAGTCTGTCACTTTAAGTCAGTCAAGTCAAGTTTTGCTTGCAAAAATATAATCAAATGTAATTTCATGATTCAATGAATAGTATATAAATCTACTATTATTGGGGTTCATTTTCTTTCAATACTACCCATTTTCATTTTCTCACTGGTAGTTATTCTTATTATCCAAGTGTCATTATTGCCCTCTATTGTTATGCAAATAGAGCATTTTTATTAGCTCCTCTGACACTATATAAGGCTTTGCTTCTTCAGCAGTAATAATTCCATTTCTGAAGGAAAATAGAAGTGACTGTACACAAAATTCTAAGCTCTTACTTTATGTTAAGTCCATGCCTAAAATAGGATTTTAATTTAATCATATCTGGGAAGACCAAGTTTTTATTAGCTCCCTCAAGAAAGTATGCAAAATAGTCTTTTTCATGCAGGGTTTTTTGATTCAAAGAGCCTATGAAACCATTACTCCTTCACAGTGATGCACGTAAGATACACTTACTGACCAAATTAAACTCTAAATTTCTATCATCATATGTTATTCATCATTTTTTGTATATTTTTCTTTTGAAATATGGGCAAACAGAATATCCTACACAAATAGTTGAAATAAAATGTATCAGTTATATAGTTTAAAGATATATTTTCTAATAGATATATGGAGGATATAATTTTTAAAACACAACCATAAATACATTATTGTTGATTTTATTAATATAATATAGTGGTTCAAAAAAGGAAACCATCAAAACCAGGTTATAGCTCTCAAAAACAAATCTAGCAAATATTGCCTCAAGTTACATCAAATTAACTGATGTGTCCATTAATGTCAAACAGACTTAATTGAACTTTTGTTATATCCTACCAGCAGCTTTTCTATATCGAGGAATAGATATATTGCTGTAGCTAGATATCTGTTTTCTAGCAGAAAAACTAATATAAGATCAGAACAGATTAAAATATATAGCACTTTACCCAAGAACTAGAACACCTTAGAGAAGAAGAATTTCAAGGTTATTGGAATTTGTTAAAATGGTACATGAAGAGGAAGCAACATAGCCTGGGTGGAGCCCAGTGGCATTGAATTTGGATGAGGTTTGGCAAGAAAGCCACAGGATTAGTCAATATTATCTGCCATCTTTGTGTACAGAGAGACCACTCTCCTCTATGCCATGAGGAGAGGGACTTAGGCTTGATGAGAAGGTAATTATATGAAACAATTTGGGTACAATATGAGGCATCATGTAATTAATCACTAGCATATTTATGTCAAAAAGCAATAGGAATTTATAAAAAAAAAAATATATATATATACACATCAGTCCTAAAAAGCTAAATAATGATATCAAAACCATCTTTGCCAGTCTCAATTCCTAAGAGGCCCCAGGGAATGAATAACATGAGAATATGACTCTATTATATTAATCTACATTTCCAATATACCTGAACAAATATTCTGATACTTTCCTTAGTTAGTGTCAAAACTTACCATGTAGAACAAAAACTAAATGTTGGAAAACTACATGATAGCATTCTTAAAATATTCTCTTATAAGCCAGGCTCGGTGGCTCAGCCTGTAATCCCGCGCCTTTGGGAGGCTGAGGTGAGTGGATTGCCTGAGCCCGAGGGTTCGAGACCCACCTGGGTAACTTGGCGAGACCTCATCTCTACAATAAATCAAAAACAAATTAGCCGGGCGTGGTAGCGCGCGCCTGTAGTTCCAGCTACTTGGAAGGCTGAGGCGGAAGGATCGCCGGAGCCCAGCGGGTCGAGGCTGCGGTGGCCAGGAGTGGTCACTGCACTCCAGTCTGGGCAACAGAGTGAGACTCCAACTCAAAAAAAAAAAAATTCTCTTATAATATGAAGAGGAGTAGGGCTTTTAAGGGGAAATGTTCTATTTTTTAATTAGAAAAGAACTTAAATAATCTTTAACCAGGCAGGAATCATAGAATTTGGGTGCTATTTTCCACAACATTACAAGTTCGCCATTCCAAGACTACAGTGTCTTAGAATCACAACAGTTTGTAGCTAGACAAGGACGTAGTATACTCTCCAATCTGTCTGAGGTATCCTAGATCAACAAAACTGTGGAGGCTGCTGCCTTAGCAAACAAATGAGACTATGAACTTAACTCACCTCCAGAGACTTTTGTGTTGCTCCTCGAGTTGAGTTAGCAGGTGCTCTATGTATTTGTTGGAGTCCATGTATTCCTGCACAAACAGACAAGGACAAATTAAACTTCATTACAATAGTCACTAGAATTCTAAATCTCTGTCCTTATCTCAGTAAGGAATATTTTTGACAAGATAATCCCTATGTTTCTCCCAGGAATATATAGCACATTGCCCAAGAACTAGAACTCCTTAGGGAAGGAGAATTTCAAGGTTATTGGAATTTGTTAAAATGGTACATGAAGAGGAGGCAATATGGACTAGAAGGAGTCCAGTGGCGATGGATTTGGATGAGGTTTGAATGCCCCAGGATTAGTCAATATTTACCTACCATTTCTGTGTCTCTCCTCTATGCTCTGAGGAGTCTAGGAGCTCGAGCAGTCTATGCTTCTATGACTTACAATTGCAGATAAATACTATTTTCCCCATATTCTGTGATAGTTTCATAAACAAATCACTGAAGATAACTGGGGTTTTACTGAATCAGCATAAAAATCCTCTTATTCACAGAGAAAATAGCCTAAACCTTCATGACCATCTACACTGGGTTCTATGTTCTACTGTATAAACATCTTGCTGCGGACCTTACAAGAATAAAGTGAACAATACAGGTCTTGATTTTACTGGTCTTATGACCAATGTTTCTAAAAGCAATGTTTCTAAACTATATACAATGCTTTGTATATTATACCTATAACATATACCCCATATTCATTGGGCATTTGTGTACACTGATGGACATGTCCATTTTCCTTCATCTCCGCATATACACTTGAAACATTATATTTTCTTTTTTCCTTTATTCTTAGAAGATTAATCTTCAGTTTCTAAAATGACTTGAAAAGGTATGGTGTATCTTCTTCTATAGAAATGTGTATGTAAATAGATTTCTGTAAATCAAATTATTTTTCAAGAAACATGTCTAAAAAATGAAGAATTCATTTGTCATAAGAACTATGCAGAAAAATCCATAGGTTATTACAACTTAATTTGTGATTTCTGAAAATGAGGCTTATAAGCAATAAAGTTTCAATTGCTAACTTGGGGAAAGACAATATGTAAAATTTCTGATATTGTTTCATTATGAATCTGATATTTCTTTCCATTTCTGTTTAAGGGTTTAAACTACAGGCCTCTGCTTCTACATTTTGGCTCCCTTAGATGAAATAGTAGCAACGATTTCGATGTTAAGGCACCCATGAAAGTTGTTTCATTTCTATATATTTGAAGCGAACTGGGAGCTTTGATTAATAATGATATTTTTCTTTCTGAAATACAGATTTCTTACTAAATAATATGCATAATGTATTTCTCCAATAGGAGTATTCACTATAACATGGCAGGAGGTGGGGAGAAGTATAGGAGTTGATCTGATATAATGAAATGGGCCCACTCCTGAGTTTCTATGTAACCTTGAAAAAACCTTTTTACCTTCTGATATATTTATTAGACTAGGGGGTACACAAAGCCCTTGTCTAGCTGTCATAATTCTTAGGTTACAGATAATTAACTGAAATGTCTATTTTCAGGCGACTTCTGCATAGCTAGTTATTTTAACAAGAGTGCAGGGGTTGTTAAAAACAAAGCAGAAATCTGCTGTTACAGGAAGTTGCAACATGTGTGGTTATGGTTTTAAATGGCCCTGATCAAGGCAAAACCACGATTTAGAACACTCAACATGATTAAATACCCTAATTCTCAAATATTTCCAGTCAAAAAAATGTAAAGACATTGTTTTCAAGTAGAAATAAACATACGAATCTCAAAGTCACTCATTCATTCTTCATCTGACAACTATTTTTTAAACAACTGTTATATGCCAAGTGTTGCTCTAAGTACCATAGATACAGTCATAACTAAGAGGCGAAAAGCCACTGTCCTCAAGGGGCTTACATTCTGTCGAGGAAGACATAATAAATACGTGAGCAGATTAATTTCAGATTGGTTACATGCCATGGGGGAAATAAACAGGTGACAGGAAAGGCCTTGATTGGGAGGAGCAGCTGCTTCACATAAAGTCATCAGAAGAGAACTCTGAGCAAGTGATGCTTGAGCCAAGACTTGGAAGAGAGGCAGGCAAACCATATAGAGAAAAGGGGGCCAGAACTGAAGGCAGGAGAAATAGCACATGCAGAGATCCCCAAATGTGCTCTTTGAGGAACAGAAGGAAGCCAAAGGGGAGACTGGAAACAGGGATACTGAGGTATAGAGTCTAAAATGAAGTTGGAGAAGTAGGCAGGGAACAAATCGTGTGTATGTCTCAGAAAGCAGTATGGATGAAACCGATGGATTTGTTATTTTGTCCATTCCAATTAGCTCAAGTTAGAGGTTGAAGCTGAAAGTTATAGTGATATGATTAATACGATTTAGGATCAAAGAGACTTAGGTTCAAATCTTGCTTTTGATACTTACTAGCTATGTTCTCCTAGTCGAATTATACAATCTCATTAAGCCTTAATTTCCTCATCTTTATCAGAGGAATAAATAATGCTTAATTTATGGAGGTATTGAAGGATTAAATTAAATAGTTTAAGTATATGCTATCATATCTGCCAAATAGTAAGCATTGCCTTTTTCAGAGTATTATATGCCTCTTCTCAAAAGGTAGATTACTTTACAAGGTGAAGGCATTATTAATTTCTCTTCTTGTACCAAACTTCAAGACTTTTAAATATATTGCTCTCAGGTAGCAGTTGTTGAATGTTGGAATAGGCACTTAGGCAGACATTAATAATAATACAGATTTCCAACAGTTAAATGTAGCTGTCACTGAACTGTGGTGTAAAAACTATTTCAAATAACAATACCGGTTGCTTCGATTTAAACTAGCTTTACCCTATTTTTCATCAAATTAACTACGAGAACAAATCTTAAGCCACTTAACAATAGGAAACTAAGATTATGGATCCTCCATCCCCTACTACGAGGTCTGACAATGAAGTTTGCAAATTCATCCTAGAAAACATGCTACATACCTCACTGCTGAATACCACTATGGTCATTTTGAAGTACTCCCCTTGGGAAGCTATACACTGATGCCAGCACCTAGTCCACACATCAAAGCAATTTTGGAACTCTTTTTCTGGAATGACTATCAGAGCTGTCACTGCAAAATGTCAGAGTTTGAATTAGAGCAACGGACAAACATTAAACTTCTTGTTAAACTTGGCGAGAGTAGAAGTGAAATCAGGGACATGTTAGTCCAAGTTTTGGGACATAATGCCATGAAGAAAATGGCAGTGTACAAATGGAGTAAATGTTTTTCTGAGGGGAGAGAAAGCGGCACTGATGAAGAGGGGTCAGGATGGCCAGTAATGAGCAGGACTGATGAAAATGTTGCAACAATTTAATGAATTGTACCTCAAAATCGTCAGCTAACTGTGAGAAACATAGCAGACCAAATAAACATCAACAGGAAAATCTTAACTGAAAATCTTGGCATGAGAAAGTATGTGCAAAAACAGTCCTGAAGGAGCTCTTGTATCAGGGCAATGCACCAACTCACATAGTACTGTCTGTGAGGGAATTTTTAGTCAGTAAACAATTAACTATATTAGAGCACCTTCCCTGTTCACCTGATTTGACCCACAGTGACTTTTTTCTTTACCTGAAGATAAAGGAAATATTGGAAGGAAGACATTTTGATGACATGCAGAACATCGAGGATAATACAATGACAGCTCTCATGGCCATTCCAGAAAAAGAGTTCCAAAATTACTTTGACTTCCCAAGGAGATAGTGATATTCAGCAGTGAGGTATGTAGCACTTTTTCTAGGATGAGTTTATTAACTTAATTTTCAGACCTCACTAGCTTTATTTTTCTTTATGACACTCCTACTTCTAACATGCAATATATTTTACTTGGCTACTAGAATATTGCCACTTACCCCCACTTTCCAGCCCCCAATATAAGTCTAACAGAAATGGATTGTGAAAAAAAAAAAAGATGAAGCTTATATGTACTATTTGTCAAGTGAAACAATTTTTTCACTTTCTAAAGAACTTAGGAAATGCCCTCATACATTTATCATTTCTGGTCCTTGAACTGCAAAAGTTTAGTTACCTGTTGAGAAAGCCCTATGATTCTATAAGATTGAGATAGAATCATTCCCAGTGGGAATTTTATCTATCTCTTTGGAGTTTAACTTCAAATAAACATTGGAAGGTGGCATCAGTGGGGCTGGCAGTAGCAATGGAGGGGGTTATTCAGTGGAACTATAGTCACTAAGTAAAATGCTCCAAGAGCCTTGATAGCAAGTACATACTGGAGGTTATTGTACAGAGACTCCAATATTCCAATATGTCTGCACAGGCAGAAAGAAAATGTCTGGATAGATCCTTTCAGAATAAACTGAAAACAACAACCACGACATGGGACCCATGAAAAACTACGGTAGGACAAGAGAAAGAACATCATCCTCAATCATAGGAGAGAGAGTTCTTTGAAAAGTATTTAAAAGAAAGACACGAAAGCATTTTAGAAAGAGCCTTCATATGTTTACTAGTATCTAGAAAGATGTGGTCTCTCTGACATGTGGGCAGAAGGGCTTTTAAAAAAATGTTGAGATGAAAAGGTAGCAGAATTTGATTTTTAAAAGATAACAGGGTGAGCAGGAAAGATAAAACGACATAAAGATGGAGCTGAGTGAACTAAGAATTTCAAGGCAGCATGGATTGTAAAAGCAGAATTGAAACCTGCGTATTGCTATTCTGTGATTTTTATTATGAAGTGACTCCCCCATCATGAAATTGTGCTTCAGAGGAGAGCAGGCAATGGATTTTGGTGTATTAGCACTGAACCGGTCATTGATGAAAATCTACTTCTCAGTATCTCATTTGGGAAACAAATTCTCCATCTCAGACCAGGTACTTAAATAATCCTCTTCTCTTGTTTCTACAGTATAAATCAGTATATGTCTAATATCACTTAGTAAAGACAACATGCTGTATTCTGTGGGGAAAAACCACCTAGATCCACATTTCATGTCAATGTTGACTACTTGTAACACATTATTTATGAAAAAAATCTAAGTTTCCC